AAAAAAAAAGGTCGAGAAGGGAGAGGGTTGACATGTCGTGGGGTTATTAACCAATGTCATAAAACAATATGTGTACTACTGTTTAATGAGAAACTATTTGTTGTGTAAACCTTCACCTGAAGTACAATAAAAAAAAAATCATATCACTTATTATATTAAAAAAGATTTTGGATTTGCTTTAATGAGATTTTTCTATGAACACTGCCTACACTTTAGGAGAAATATGTGGTATTACCGTTGATATATACTATAGAGTTTATCAATATTATTTTCATGAGGCTATTTATTCCCACAAATCCACTTAGAACAAGTGAAAGTAAGGCTGCTAGCTTTCATTTTTTTGCCTGATTTCTTTGGTATTTATCATTGTGCAATGTGTACAAGTACTATAGTATGCTTGTATATAGAAATTAAGAATATTATGAAATACGTAAGTTCCCTATGGTTTATGGATAATTCCCCCTAATGTGATTTACTCAGTAAATTTATGGTAGGGCTAGAATGGATGCGTTTATAGTAAGTGTATGCTATTAAAACTATGAAGAATCAAATGACTTCATTTTGAAGAATACTTTATCTGGTAAAAACACATGAAGAAGTAAAGGCTCGCTTAAATGAAAAAAAAAAAGCTCTAATGTTAAAGCAATAGGAAAAAAAATCCCATGCACAGAAAGATCTTATGTGAGATTTAATGTCAGAGCACTATGTATTAAGTATTAAACTTCCTAATAATAAAAATCTGCCGTAATTAGAAATAAAGATAAATAGTAATTTTTTAAAAAAGGTATTTTGGAATCAATTATTACTGGCTTAAGTGATTTAAAAAAAAATCTACTGCATAATATCATGAGTTTCCATTATCACAGCATATTAGAAAAACAAGTACCTTCATACACGTACCACATACTGAAAAAGTAATTTCGACTCTGAATGCTAATACAAGCTTAATTATTTAAAATGGCTAACTAGGAAACTATCTCTGATGACGGAAATACTAAATTTTTTTAACTCAAAATAGCATGTGAAAGAACAAATCACTGTTCTCAACAAATAAGTTGAAAAATCTTAGTCTCTTCTCTATTGAGGTCATAGAACTCCACAATCTGTCTGGGTTTCACCCTTTTATTTTCTGGATGAAATTCACACATTCACTATAGACTCACTTAAGGAACTACAAATAAGTAACATTATTTCTGAAACCAAGGGTTTACTTAGCCTCTCTTCATAATAAAAACTTGTATTAAGTACCTATACTTACATGGCACAGTACAAAGGAAATAAAATGATGTTAAAAATATGACAGAAACCATGCAAGAAATATAATCCAAGCAATATTAGCTCCCACTACATTACTATCATGTTGACTAAAATACATTATGTCATGAAATAAAATCTATTTAAAACTCAGAAAATACATGTTTTCAAAATCTCTTCTGAGGAACTCTCAAGACTATTGCCCTAAGATAACCTTCTAACCTGAAACTGAAGACATTCAGAGGCTCCTTTCAGCCAAATAATATGTGGGGCTGTAAAATAAACAATAATACCCGTGAAGAATGTCCTCCTTAAAACAATCAACTCTATGAGACCAAAAGGGAACATTTGCCCAAAACCAAAGATGAGAAGGCAGCGAGGGAAAGGGAAACTGGCCTAATGGAAAGGGGGAACACAGGGAGGAAATGGGGAGAATGCTGACACATTTCAGGTATTACAACCAATGTTATGGAACAGTTAGTGTAAGAATCATTGATTGGAAAACAAATTTGCTATGTAAACTTTCACCTAAAGCACAATAAAATGTTCAAAAAAGAAATCTTGTCTATGACATCTTTGCTGATTCTTCTCCTTAAAACTCCAACAGAATGACTACTCTGTACTTTCACTACATGCTCCACTATCTGCCTAATGACCTAAGTGGTATTAAAACACTATAATTTCCCCTATTTGTGGTTGATATGATACTACACATAGAAAACCC